ATTTCCACTTTTAAAAGTTTTATTGTAAACAGTTACAGATGATTCCCAGAGCTCCATTCTAATAATCCTCTCTTCTCTTCCCACCTTATCTCAGAAGATGCTATCAGCTCCACTGGATTACAATGAGGTTTTTGTTTGCATGTTTGTTTTTAAGCATTGGGGCATTAGCTTGGCCTTCCAGGTCCAGCCCCCTCAAATGCTAATGGAGTCTACAGGAAACAACCATTTCAGGAAAACAACCGCCACCATGCTAGGAGCTCCTAGTGAGGACAATTTCCAACATTTAGGCAGAAGCTTGGCTTTCTGCTCTAATTTAATTTATATCTTTCCCTAGATAATCCCTGGTTTTTGTGTTGGTTTTTTTTTTTAGTTGAAGCAAAAATTCAAGTGTTTGGATAAAGAATGGAGAAAAGTACGTTAGCCCAGGTCGGCTAATGGTCAGGCCCAGGGAAAGGAATCTGTGGGAAGAGAGTTTCTCGGAAAGCCCCTCAGTGCCTGATGAGGCACGTAGGACATTAACTTCACTCTCTGGAACGATGCCTGGAAAGGCTGATGGCCCTCTTCAATCTCTATCTTCTCTACCTCGAATTTTCCTTTCTCTTTCCATCTGTTGCTCCTGTAGTTCCTATGCTTTGGGGATCAATTCTTGAGGATCCCATTCCTTCCATTCAGTTACAGACTGGGTGTGTTCTTTTAAGAACTATTTCAACACACTTCGGTATAATTTGTTCAGGTCCAAGACATTTGATCTCTTTCAGTGTCTATGTGCTCTCTTGCTATCCTCACCCATCTTGGGCTTCTATTCCTTTTTGCATCATTTTTGGTCTACTCTTTCCAGTCTAAAGATCACTCTCCCTGATAGAAAAGAAAATCAAAATAGGAGATGAGTAGTGCTGTTTTCTGCCTGTCAAGGTCCACCATCAATCTCTGACCAGCAGGGTCCCAGGAGCTCTGGCAGAGAAATGCCCAGGTGATAAGGGAAGGGCTCACTCTTAAGTTTCAGAGAGAACTCAGCCTTTGCTGCTCTTGTGACCTCATCAAGTCCAGATCAAAACAGGAGAGCCCCTCCAGGGATATATCCAGCATGCCAATACAAATACAGATGCCAAAGGAAAGCCTCTTGGGCATCAAGGCCACCCAGAATGGCCTTGCTCTGCCTCACAGATGTCTCATAAAGAACTGCCTCATTCTCCCTTCTAACAACACAGTCCCTTTCGCAACACAAAGGTCAGGTCCTGGGTTACCTCAGAGGAGGGGAGAGAGGCTGGTTTCCTCATTGGCACTATTAGCAACAGCTGCTGCCTTCTGGCTCCACAGAGTGATTGCCCAGTCTTCTGGGCTGGGTAACAGTGTCAATCACCTCTGCCAATGAGCTTGCACAAGCCTTGGTTTTATTCTTATCTAAAAAAAAACCCTACAGAACCCTCGAATCTCAGGGTTGGGGTTAGGGAGACCTTAGAAATTGTCATACCCTGGCATCTGCCCCAAACATGGAACTATTTACATTGTCCCTAACATTCTTCTCTGTGTCTTAAGCCACCCTCCTCCTGTGCCTTGGACTCTTATTATAATAAATTCTCCCAAAGCCAGCCCTCTTCCAGACTTCTCTGCTTCTGTTGTGAGTACCACCATTCCTTCAGTCTTCTACGTTTATATCCTGGGCTCACTTTCCCTCATCCCACACAGACAATCAGTGGCCACATACTGTCTTTTCTGCCTCCACAGAAGTTCTAATCATTATTCTTTCCCCTCAGGCAGTTGCTGGCCTAGCATAGGCCATGATCACTTGTTGCCTGAATTATTTCAACAGCCTTTTAGTTGGACCCCTTGCTTCCAGAAACTTGACCAGCCCTGGCAGCTTTCTCTTACTTCCAAGATCAAACACAAAGTACTCTGTCATTTAAAGTCCTTTACAACTATTTGTAACATTCTGTTTTTGTTTTTTGGGGTTTTTTTTGGATAGGCAACAGATTTAAGTAACTTGCCCAAGGTCACACAGCTAGTAAATGTTAAGTGTCTGAAGTTGGATTTGAACTCAGGTCCTCCTGACTCCAGAGCTGGTGCTCTATCCACTGCGCCACCTAGCTGCCCCTGATCCTACCATTCTGGAGAGCCATGTGGAGCTATGCCCAAAGGGCTATAAAAATGTGCAAACCCTTTGGTCCGGCAATACCACTACTGGTTCTGTATCCCAAAGAGATCATAAAAGAGGGAAAACACCCACATGTACAAAAATATTTATAGCAACTCTTTTTTCAGTGGCAAAGAATTGGAAATGGAGGGGATGCCCATCCATTGGGGAATGGCTGAACAAGTTGTGGTATATGAATATAATGGAATACCATTGTGCTATAAGAAATGACGAGCAGGCGGACTTCAGAAAAACCTGGAAAGACTTGCACGAACTGATGCTGAGTGAAGTGAGCAGAACCAAGAGAACGCTGTCCACAGTCACAGCCACGTATGATGCTCAGCTATCAATGACTCAGCTCTTCTCAGCAACACAATGATCACACACCAGTGCAAAGGACTCACAGAGGGAAATGCTGTCCACATCCAGACTGAGAGCTGATGGACTCAGAGTGCGCAGCAAAGCGTATCTTTTTTTCACATACTCTATTCTTTTTCATGTTTTTTTTCCCTTTTGATCTATTTCTTTCACAACTATGACTAATATGGAAATATGCTTTACATGATAGCACATATATAACCTATATCAAACTACCTACTACTTTTGGAAGAGGGGAGGGGAGGGAGAAAAATTTGGAACTCAAAATCTTGTAAAAATGAATGCCAAAAATTGTCTTGACATGTAATTAGGGAAAAAATAAAACACTATTTAAAAACAAGGAAAAAATGACCAAAACAACAACAACAAAAATCCTTCACAACCCTGTCCTTTCCTACCTTTCCAATCTGCTTGACTTCCCTCATGAACCTTCTATGGTCTATCAACAATACATATTTGCTTCATAACATTTTTTCAAACACTCTTCAGTCCAACCAACCTGGTCCTCTTATCTTGGTCACATGTGATTGAGAGAGAGAGAGAGAGAGAGAGAGAGAGAGAGAGAGAGAGAGAGAGAGAGAGAGAGAGAGAGCGTGTGTGTGTGTGTGTGTGTAAAAAAGAGACAGATTTTCCTGAGATTTCTGGCCAAGAGTTGTAAATGGTTCAGTAGACAAGTCACATTTCTTCCTTTCTTTAGAGTTCCCTGCGGTATCTGCCCTGCATTAGGATCACTGCATCAAAGCTCTGATGCATAGTTGGATGACTTTTCTGGAATAAACCCATGGGCTAACTCATTGCTATGCCAATTGCTACTTCCTGGAAAAAGTTAGAAGAAAGAGTTACTAGGTCCATTCTGGGCACTACAATTTTGCAAGGACATTGTTGGAGAATGTCCAAAGGAAGACGGACAATGAGGATAAGCCAGGACCTGGAGTCTCTGTCATGTGAGGGGGTGGGGAGGATGCTCAGCCCAAGTCCCGGAAAAGACTCTGGGGAGGAGGACTCCATAGTCATTGTGTTCTGGCAGTAGGGGGTGTCATGAAAGATAGATGAGATTCGTTCTGCTTGGTCCCAGAGGGCAGGACCTGGAACAATGGATGGAAGTCACTCAGAGACCAATTTAGGCTTGAAGTCGGTGAAATGGGTGGTGCTGAGAGGAGGCTGGTTACTAGGGGTCTTCAAGCAGAATGACCCTTTGTCAGATAGGTCATGGGGGGATTTCTTACAGGGCTGTTGAGGTCACTTCCCACTCTCAAATTCTGTGATTCCCAAGAAATGGGATTAAAGAGGAAGTCTGAAAAAGAGAGACAGGAAAAAACAGTGGCAAGGGCACATGCATGATCCACATATCCACATATGTACATATGTATGTATGTATGTGTATGTATGCATGCATGCATGCATGTTTGTATGTGATCCCCCAGGGGGGATTCTACACTGTATCAGCAATATTGTGCAATGACCAACTTGGATAGACTTAGCTCTTCCCAACAATGCAATGATCTAAGACAAGTCCAAAAGATTCATGATAGAAAATGCTATCCACATCCAGAGAAAGAACTCTGGAGTCTGAATGCAGGTGGAAGCATACTATATGCGCTCTCTCTCTCTCTCTCTCTCTCTCTCTCTCTCTCTCTCTCTCTCTCTCTCTCTCTCCCTGGTTTTTTTCTTTCTCATGGCTTTTCCCTTTTGCACTGATTCTTCTTTCACAACATGACTAATATGGATATATGTTTAATATGATTGTACATGTTTAGCCTATATCAGGTTGCATGCTGTCTTGGGGAGGAGGGAGAAGAGGAAGGGGGGAAAATTTAGAACTCAAAATCTTATAAGAATGAATGTTAGAAACTAAAATGAATTAATTTAAAAAATTCATCGATGAAAGAGTCGTCTCTCTTTATAGAATGTAAGCTCTGTGAGGGCAGGGCCTGTTTCGTTTTTGCCTCTATCCCTAGCACCTAGCACAGTGTCTGATGTGTAGTGGCTGTCTAATAAAAGCTTGTTGATTGATTGATATATACTCTTTTTGTACACGTATCCGTTGTTTCCCCAACAGACTATAAGACCCTACAGGGCAAGACCTGTTTCCTTTTTTGCCTCTGTGCCTCCATGAGTTCAAATCTGGCCTCAGACACTTAGTAGCTGTGTGACCCTGGGCAAGTCATTTCACCCCCTCTGCCTCCGTTTCTTCATCTGTCAGATGAGCTGGAGAAGGAAATGACAAACCACTTCCAGTATCTTTACCAAGAAAACCCCAATGGGATCATGAAGAGTTTGATGCCACTGAAACAGCTCAACAACAAAAGTCTAGCATCCGGCAAAGATCCTGCCGCATAGCTGGCACTTAACAAGTGCCCGCAGGACAATGGCCCACCATTGGAAGGACTGGGGGATGAGAGGTTCAAGGCCAGTGCCTTGCAATCACCAGTTGATCCAGAACCTCGTATGAAATGGAAGTACTCCAGGTAGCCAGGAAAAGTGAACTTACCCTTTTTAGAAAGCACCGGCCAAGAAATTCAGGATTTTCAACGCAGTTTTCCAGTTCTTTAAGAAAAATTCTAAGGAGAAAAATGTGGATGTTTTTGATTTTTTTTTAATGTACTGGCTTCAGAACAATGATCAAGTTTGAATAGGATGTGTAGGGAAGGAAGGGAGCCTAAAAATACTTCTGTTATCGCTTCCGCCCACACCCCGGAACCTCTTCTATTATTAGAACCAGGCCAGACCCAGGGTGGCTCTACCAGGCCTGAGCCCTAGTGGCAAACAGCCTGGAGGCTCCTGGGCCTCTTGGTGTGTGAAGAGGGGAGGGGAATGAGCATTTGGAAAAGAGCCGGGCTGAGTCCCTGTCTCTGCCCCTTTCCGCGTGGGTAACTCCCCCAAGTGTGGGTTTGGCTGGATGCTCTCTAAGGCCCCTCTGCCTCTCATAGGCTCAAGTCCTAAGAATCTGAGCACACCAAGACAACAGGAAGGCAGGTGGGCTGGACCACAATGGTGCTACCCAATGGCGTATTCACGTGCCTTTGAAACGTACATCAGCTTAGGAGCATTTATCAGTGACTGGGAGAAGGTGATTTGGGTTGACCCCTCTCCACTGGGAACACGTCTGTCTTGGTAAATGGAAAGAGCTTAATAAATGTGTTATGTGTCTATCCATATCTATTTCTATACCCATTTCTCTCTCTCATTAACTATATATATATATATACACACACATATATATATATACATATATATATATATTCATGTATATCTAGCAATCATCTATTCATCCATCGATTCATATTTCTCTATTAATGTTTATCTATGTCTACTTGTCTATCTAGCTCTATATCTATCTATATCTGTGTATCAATCATCTATCAGTGTCTAAGTCCATTTATTTCTATATCTACATATCTATGTGTATGTATATATATATATATATAATCTATTAAATCCATCCATCCATATTTATTTCACAATATCTTGTCCATCTCTATATCCATCTATATCTGTACATCAATTATCTGTCAATGCCTATCTATCCATCTATTTATTGATCTATCTGTCATCTGTCTGTCTGTCTATCTATTAATGTCTATCTAGGTCTTTCCATCTGTCTCTCCCTGTCTGTCTGACTGCCTGTCTGTTTGTCTGTCCATCTGTCTGTCTATGCCTCTCTATCTATCTATCTCTCTATGGCTATCTATCCATCTATTAAGGTCTACCTAGGTCTGTCTACCCGTCTCTCTGTGTTTCTGCCCTAAGCCTGATGACATAGAATGCTGGACGTGGAGTCAAAAACCTCAGGTTCTAGTGCTGGACCTCCCACTGACTAGCTGTGTGACCTTGGGCAAGTCCCTTCCCTGTGAACCTCCATTTCTTCCTATGTATCCCTCCTTAGGAAGGGGGATACATTCCCTGAGGGGCAAGTACAATTTTTTTGCCTCTCTTTGTATTTCCAGTGCTGATTAGCACATAGTAAGCGCTTAAGGAATGCTTATTGATTTATGTGTAAAATGAGGGGGCTGGAGCAGAGGAAAGGAAGCGTGCCCCAGTGGGTAGAGCCCTAGCCGACCTGAGCTCTAATCCCACCTGGCCATGTGACCTTATGCAATCCTGGCACCTCTGGAAGAATCATTTTCTGCATCTGTAAAAGTGTTGGGATAACACCTGTAGTGCTTCCTCCGCGGGGCAGTTGTAAGACTCAAATAAGATGATGTGTGTGAAGGGTTTTGCCAGCTTCAGAGTGCTCAAGCGCCTTCCCAGCACTGCCTCTCTCGCTGGCAAGCTTGCCTCTGTAGCCTCAGCTCGTAGCCCAGGCTTGCCTGGTACACAGCAGGTGCTTAAGAAATGCTTATTCATTCACCAAGTCGTGAATTTCCTGCTTCCACTCCCATTGTTCTGTCTTCTTCCCACGGTAATTTTTGTTAAAACTGAACCAGGAGAAGAGAGTATGTTCTCCATTGAGAGGGGGTCCGGTGCTAGGGAAGGAGCGATGACATGGATTCCAATCTCACCTCTGATGCTTACTTCCTGGGCCTCAGTCTTCTCATCTGTAAAATGAGAAGGCTGAACCAGATGACCCCTGAGGTCTCTTCCAGATATAAATCCCACAATCCTAGTTCAGGAGCTTTCAGGGACATTCCGCCCAATAGGGACAGCCCAGGAACTGACTAACTGTCCTCACTGCCTCTAAATATTGGACAAAATGCAATACAAAAACCTAAGACTCCCTTTTTTATCAGTCTGAATGCCCTTTCCTGAAACAAAACCACAAGAAGCTGCCTTAGTTGCCTTGATTCCTAAGCTATGTTGATGAAAAATCTGTTTTTAAATTCTCATTTTGAACGAAATGAAAAAAAGCCATTTTTTGTTTTATTCAAATCCCAGCACCCCCTTCCCTCTCCTCCTTGAATACTCTCATGCTGGGCAATGAGGGAGGCAACATTGAAGACGACTAGGGGTGAAACCAGTCTGGTTTGGGCGGTGACTTAATTATAGGCTCCAAGCTCCAGCCCCAGCATTACACTGCTTCCTCCTTAATCCAGGGAGGTTAAACAGGAATTCCTTTGGGCGCTGACAAGTGTAATCAGGACCTGGAGCCCAGGAAATTAACACGGCTGCTGCGTCTACTACTATGACCTGGCTTCTCAGTTTGAGTATTATCCACAAACTCCTCTGCTTAACAACGGTACAGAAATGGAAATGATGGGAACTTCCCCCCTCCATATTTCTTCTTTGGAATCTTGTAGGACGATTCTATTCACCCAAATCAGGGAACCTGATTTTGATCTTATCTTACATAGGTATAGATAGCTACTTGTGAGGCAATGTGGCAGAGCAGATAGAACACAGACCTCAAGGTCAAGAAGACCTGAGTTCAAATCCCTTCTCAGACACATACTAGCTGAGTGACCCTGGATATGTCATTTACCCTCTCAGTATCTACGGCAATCCTTTGAGATGATATGTAGCAGAAAAGTTATTGATCTGCATTAGTAGAAGGCGTACCCTACACCAGTGAAATTATGGGTCTCAGATTTATGCGGATATGTAGGTATATGTGTGTATATAGTTATACACACACTTAAATATATTCACAAATATATGTATTTCTGTGTACATGTGTAAGATTATCATACCAATGAAATTATGTCTCAGATATGTGTATGTATATGTCTATGCACATATACACATACGTATATGTGCATATAGATGATTTTCTACGTATATCTGTGCACGTGTCTATATACACACTGCTGAAATTCTAGTTCTCAGGAATGTGTACGCACATGTATGTATACACACATGTATTTTCTGTATACATCTCTGTATATATATGCGCATCGATGAAATTATGGTCTCAGACACATGTATGCATGCAGGCATGTTGTTGTTCAGCTGTTTCAGGCCTGTCTGACTCTCCGTGACCCCATTTGGGGTCTTCTTGACACAGATACTGACGTGGTTTGCCATTTCCTTCTCCAGCTCATCTTATAGATGAGGAAACTGAGGCAAAGAGGGTTAAGTGACTTGCCCGGGGTCACCTAGCCAGTAAGTATCTGAGGCTGGATTTGAACTTAGGTCTTCTTGACTCCAGGCCTGGTGCTCTATCAATGGATACAGCCCCTTCATATGCATATGTACATACATGTATCTGCACATACATGTGTTTTTAATGTACACTGGTATATGTAGCTATACATACCTGTGTGAAATATAGGTCTCAGTTATATGTGTATATGTATGTCTATACATATATCCCCATACACATATATCCATCCATACATGTATTTTCTATGTAATCTGTATATATATTTATACACATATCAAAAAATTCTAGGTCTCAGACATACGGGTGTACACATATATGCATATATACATATACCCACACCTTTATATATTTATATTTATACACCCTTATAAAAGAATACGCGAGGTGGCATAGTTTGGGGCAAGAAAATCTGGCATAAGATCCAGGAAGACCTGAGTTCCAAAACAATACATAATAATATATAACAAAGGTATTATCCAAGTAACAGAAGGTGCCCACCTACATTAATAGAGGGCATTCCCTCATGGGGATTTCCCATATCCATGAAATCACAGGGATAGTCCACAGCCCTAATAAACTTTAATTATATTACAGTCCATAACATAGTCACAAAAAGAATGAGCAAGTCAACATTGACCTTCTCTGGAAGTCTTCTCTGATCTCTTGAGTTGTTAAGTGCTCCATCCTTCCTCTTCTCTATTTACACACCACACCTCAATTCTCCCCACCCTCACTGTAACCTCCTTGAGGACATGGACTGTTTGGTTGTTGAACACAGTGCCTGGCACAGCTTTTCTGTGTAAGGTGGGTGGTGCTGGAGCCCAGTTTTGAATGGAATGAGGGATTCCAAGGGTGGGGGCTGAGGAGGTAGAACCTTGCAGGGAGCAGGGATCATCTGGGAGATACACACCTGTTATGGAATTCGTGGATTTCATGGAGGTTTCCAAAGAGAATTTCCTTTTTGTTCTGAAGTGCAACCGGGATCAGGTGATTTAAGTCTGGATTGTCCATTTCTGCCGCGTAACCCTGCAGAGGGTGGAGAGGTGCTGGGTATCACAGATAGGAACACAGAAAAGATGCTCCAGATTCACCCCTTTCCCTCTCACCCAGTTACAGGGGGAAAAGTGCTGGCTTTACAATCAGAAGATGTGGGTTTCAGTCTCAGATCTGTACCCCTGAGTAGCCCTAGGTAAGACATTTACTTCTCTGGGCCTCAGTTTCCTTCTCTGTAAAATGAGGAGGTTGGCCTGGGTGGGCTATTGGGTCTCTTCCGGCTATTGGGTCTCTTCCAGCTGTAAAGAAGAATTCTTCTGACGCTGCCCCCCCATCCCCCTCCTGGGACTGCCAACATTAATAAGCTGACAAATGGGCAATCCACAGGCCATCCCCCACAAGGGAACCTGACAGCTTTCTGCTGGGATTGCTACCCACCCTCCTCAATAAACTGCCTGCGGAAGTACATAGCCTTTTGGCCCTGGGACTGGAATGAGGCCACCTTTGTGCTTTCAGAGGTGGACCAGAGGGTATGTGCCATGCGAGAAAGCATGGTTTAACTTCTCTGAATGCTAAAGCACCACATTGCTAGCTCTGTGGTACCAACAAGTTAGATGGAAAAGACACTGAATTTGGAGCTGAAAGACGTGGGCTCAAATCCTCACTCTGCCACTGCATGACCTTGGACAAGTCACTACACCTCTGGACCTTAGTTTCCTCATCTATAAAATAAAGAGCTTGGATAGATAAGAGGTGCCAAACCCATAGTTGCAAAATTCTCAATTAGAACCAGATAACAGTGTAACTGGGAATGTTTAAAAAAATTAACAAAAATACAACTGAGTCACTATGCAGCCAGCGGGGATCTGTTTCTATTTGAGTTTGATGTCACTGGTCTGGATGGCCTCTGTGCTGTCAATCTATGATTTGATAAGTTACTCGCCCAAGGTCATGAGGTTAACACCCTCCCCCTTCCCCAACACTTTACCTGCCACTCAGTTTCCTCTACAACAAAATGAGAGGGAGACCATCTCTAGGATGCATTCTCTAGTTCACAAAATTTTCTCCACAGTTTGTAAAACAACTATCAAAAATACTTGGCAGGGGTTGCATTTTTACGAAATCCGTACTTAAGAAAAAGAAAATGCTTCAAAATCACCAAAAAAGGGCCACTGTCCCTGGTTTTTTCAGCATGGAAGGCTGAGGAACAGAACAGACTGAAAACTTTAAGATTTGCCTAAGGCATCACGTGAGAAAAGTTTTATGTAAGATTTGATCTTGCTATATCAGATGAAATGCTATCCATAAGTGCAATTTAAACATTTTAACTAAATATCTTGTTAACAACTTGACATTCACCATCAATGCAAACAACTATGCTTGCTTAATAACTATTTACATTTAAATGAATTAATTTCAGCATACCAGGTATCAGAATGTTATTTTGGTCTCTCCCTCTAAGCCCCATCGGGACTCTACGCTCATTCATTTTCATGAACTTTTTCTCTTCATATTCCTCATACTTAACTCTCTTAATTGCCTTATAATATTCAATAAAATGAGTGTACCATAATTTATTTAACCATTACCCTATCGTTGGACATTTAGGCTGTTCTCATTTTGTTTCTATATAGATGGAATATGTATATTTATATATGTATGTATTATATGTATATATATATATATATATATACACACACACACACACACACATATAGAATGCTGCTATGAAAATTTTTGATCAGATTTTTTTCTTTTTTGATAACCTCTTTTGGAATGGTCATATCCTTAACAATGGAATTATTGGGTAAAAGTTATTTTAATAAATAATAAAAGATTATTTCAATAACATTTACTGTGTACTGCCAGATTGCTTTCTAGGAGGATTTTAGAACTTTGCAATTCCACCAACAATGAATGAGTATACTTGTTTCTCCACAGTTCTACTAGCCATATCAATGTCATTTTTACTATGATTTTCAGATTCCTGAATGGTAGGAAGTACATGGCTTATAAAGCCAGAAAGCATTGTTTTTGTATTAAAATCTTGATGGGAATTACTAAGATCCAAGGAAATGTTTTTTGTTTGTTTGCTTGTTTGTTTTTTCAGTGGGCTAAGGTTTTAGACCTGTAATTTCTTTAGAATGGGGGACTCCTGGTATGAAAACTCCATCCGCAGGCACAGATTAGCAGCCTGCCCAGTCTTGAAGAGTTGGTTGCTTGGAGCACTGAGAGATGAAGTCAAAAAGGGAGTAAGTGTCAGAGATAGGATTTGAACCCAGGCCTTCCTGAATCCAAGACTGATCATTTATCCACTAACATGAAGAGTTTGGATTTTTATTGCGCAACAGAATCTCAGTTGAATCTGGGTATTTCCAGAAATACAGTCAGCTTACCTCAATTATACTTTGAAGCTCCTCTACGTAAACTCGTTCTGTTTCAATCAGCTCATGCATGATGTGGCTAAAACAGAGAAGGACCATGATGCTTCAGAATCCACAGCAACACTGGACTGCTGAATTTTTCTCCTCCCTCATATCCCTGGGCATTAATAAAATGATGGTTCTAGCTTCAAAGGGGCCAGCTAACTTTGTTCTGTTCTGTTGTCTTACAAACACATACCCTTGGTCACAAAGGGAAATCAGGACAGTGTGCATAAATTCCAAAAATCCAGTGGAGATAAATGGGTTACAGAACTTCCTTATGGTGTGAGACAGTCATTTTTGCATTTAAAAGAAACAATGAATTATTAATATATTTTCTAGGTTCTACTGCTTCATCCACAAATCAAATTCAGAGTTGTTATTTTTTTAAAAAGCTCTTTTAAATAGTCATTGTTACTTATTTCCTAGATGCTAGCTTCCCCATTCACTCAAAAATGCTGATTGAAAACTGGGGACAAGATAAGAGATGTGGGCTAGATTTTATGACCAGACTACAAGAGCTTGCATTTACTGGGTCAATGTCAAAGTGGAGCGTTGGGGAGAGTGGGTTGGGGGAGGTCGTGGGAGAATCTTCAGTAAAGTTCTCAGGAGTCTGCCAGTGACTCTGTACTGTTCCACACGTTCATCAAAGATTGGAATGAAGCCACAGGTGGCATTCCTGTCACCATTGTAGATGGCACAAAGCTGAGGAATGGCTAGTGTTGGATACAAGAAGAATGACGGGTTGAATTGAATTAGATGAAATTGAATTGGGATGAATGTAAAGTTCTACACTTGGGTTCAAACAATCAATTTCGCAGGTATAGAACGGTGCCAGGTAGGAAGGGGTGGCTTCACAGCTAGATAACAGTTCCTGTGAAAAAGTTTTGGGATTCTAACAGATGGTAAATTCTATGAGTCAACAATGCGACATGGCAGTGCCATAAGAGAATGTCTTGCCCTGGTCAGTTTAACCATACCTGAAATATTGCATTCAGGTTCTAGCCCCATGTTTTAGGAGGGATGTTGAGAAATCGAAGAATGTCCAGAGAAGAGCAACCAATAGGATGAAGGGCCTTGCAGAGAAGGGAAGAAAAGGGAATGAGCATTTATGAAGTACCTATTGTGTGCCAGGCACTGTGCTAAGTACTTTACAGATATCATGTCATTTGAAATGAGAAGGTAGAAGGAACTGGGGACATTTAGCCTGGAGAAGAGAAGGCTTGGTGGGGTTATATTTTAAATGAAAAGTCCTCTCTTCATGGCACATTGGTAGTATCTATTTCATGACAAAGTTTTAAATGCTATAACGAAGGACTCTAGTGAATAGTACTGGGAAAGAGGTCCACTTCTGGCACCTTCCCCCAGGCCCACGAAGCCTTCCTCCAAGGTTCACTTCAGGGCAGGGCTGGGTGGTATATCACAGCAGAGAGTCTGGGGCAGAGCGTCTGTGTCTGCCCCAGGGAGGAGCCGATCTGCTCTGACATCAACTTCCAGTAAGGCTATTCATGCCCATTCACATGAGTTGTTTCCCATTTGTGCCTAATCACCCCACGGCATAAAAACTGCCATGCACATGGAGAAAGTGCTGGATTAGCTTTCTCGTAAGCTGTTCCTGATCAAACGTTAGATGCTACTCAGGTGGGCTTCAGTCTTGTAGTCTGTTGCTGTAGTAACATGCTCATTTGCTGAGAACTTTCAAAGAGGGCATATCAACCTCATTTACCCGCAGTAAAACCCACAAACAGAAAATGAAAGGGAAAGGAGCTTCAGCTACAAAAATAATTGCAAAAAGTCATAGATTTAGATCTGGAAGACGCCCTAGCAGTCATGGAGTCCAACACCTTCATTTTACTAACACAATGGGGAGTAAGGTGGCAAAATGGATAGAGCACTGGCCTTAGAGTCAAGAAGACCTGATTTCCAATCCCGCCTCAGCCATTTATTAGCTGTGTGGTCCTGGGAAAGTGTTAACTTCTCAACCTCAGTTTCCCCATCTATGAAATGGGGATAATAACAGCCCCTACCTCCCAGGGCTGTTACGAGGGTCACATGAGATCATATTTTTACAGCACTTCGCAATCCTTAGAGCACTATGCAAATGCCAGCTAGTGTTACTGTTGCTGGACTTGGGCACCCCTGACAGATGCCTCAGTGCCAAAGTCAGGATCACTGACATGCCAGTTTGTAACCGGTCTTCTCAAAACTGCCTGCTGACTGAAGGGCCCTTTTTTGACTGTACGTACTTTTATGAGGAGAGAGAGAGAGTCCGCAAGTCACATGGCTGATTCAATAAAGAATAGAAAATCCATGCAAGAATATCCAAGCACTGACAATGGTTTGCACGTCTTAAACCTCGCATCTTCACTTGCCCTCACAAAGTCCTATCCTGATGCCTCACTGTGGCACAGAGGCGGCTCCGGAGAGTCTCAAAGGCGATGGCGGGAGAGAAAGAATGCTGGGCAAGCCAGAAACACCCTGGGTTCAGTGCTGATCTGCCACATGCCAAAGATGGCAGCAGGGTGTAGTGGGAGGAATCCAGGATCGAGAGTCGGAGGAACTTGGTTCCTATCTTAGCTCTACTATCTACTCCCTCTGGGTGACCTTCAGCAAGTCACATGACCTCTTGAGCCCTCAGTGTCCCCATTTGTAAAAGGTCGGGGTTAGACTGGAGAGGTTCTGAGGTCCTGTTCATCCCTAGTTCTATGGCCATAAAATCACCCCTAAAGTGGTGTTTTAATCGATTAAAATTACACTCACTAAGAGTTTGGAGACACCTTACATGAAGAAGCTCATCATAACATGAGAAGCAGGCAGAGGACACTCTGAAACCTATAGTTTTCAGACAGTCTCTACACACTGACCCAACACTTGGTGCTCTCAATCTGAAATCTTTGTCTGGTGACTAGTGAATTAACATGTGATTGGAGGAACTAAAGCGTATTGCTGCTGACATTCTGATGGAGAAGGAAGCCAGGATAAACAAGAAAGGGGCAGCTAAAGGAGAGGACGGTAATGTCGGCGGAGATTGGCTATGCGCCATAAGGCAACACGGAGCATCACTGCACGGAACACTTGGTAATATTAACTTGCCAAATGAAACATAATTAGAGAGAGGAATGAAGGAAGGAAAGAAGGAGGAAGGAAAAAGGAAAATAAGGAAGGGAGGAAGGAAGGGAAAAAGGAAGAAAATAAGGAAGGAAAGAAGGAAGGGAGGAAGGAATGAATGAAGGAAAGAAGGAGGAAAGAAAAGGAGTAAGAAAAAAAGGGATGAAAAAAGGAAATAAGGAAGGAAGAAAGGGAGGAAGAAAATAAGGAAGAAAAGGATAAAGGAAGGAAAGAAGGAAGAAAGGAAGGAGGAAGGAAGAGAGGTAGGAAGGAAGAAAACAAAGGAGGAAGAAAGGAAATAAGGGACAGAGGAAGGAAGGGATGAAGGAAGGAAAGAAGAAAGGAAGAAAGGAAGGGAGGAAACAAAGAGTTCCTGGTCATGTTATTGAACCTCAGTGCTCCAGGCAATTCTTGAGGACCAAGGCACAGAATAGTTGCCCAAAGAGAATTCCATCAATGAAATCCCAGATCCCTAATTAGCAAGTGTTTTCAAATGGTTGGAATAGAATACTATTGAACCAAAGTCAGTAACTCAATGCCAATATAAGCCTGTTCACCTGGGCCTGGTACCTGCCCACAGATCATTGTCTCAAGGTGACCTGCTGGCAGCCAGAGAGGAGGTAAAAATATACAAACACTTGTGGGCCAATCACCACTTTGTACAGGGAGACAGCCTCCTTGATGAAATCTTGATAAGCCCATTTTCTGCAGCAGATGGCATCCCCACTGTCACCCAACTGACTGAAAGGCGACAAGAGCCTTGTCACCAAGACATCCCAGCCTTGTCAAGAGTGACAAGAGCCTCCTGTGTTTATAATCTGCTGATTGCGAACAAACCAGAAAGCAAAGTCTTTGACTCATCAGAGTCGAGCACCAGGACGAGTGGGAAAATCCATCAGAAACTTTAGCCCTGATGGACATGAGCAGCATCTTCTTCTAGGAAGGTTCATGCATCTCTGAGTCTGATCTCTCAAAGGCCCCAAAGAAAACCACCAAGTTATCTTTCTACAACACTGAGATGATGTATGTAATTGGTAAGCCTGCAAGCCCTATTCTACAGTTCCAGAGATGATCATTATCATCATGAGTAAAAAGCAGAGCAGTGCGTCCAATTGGCACTTAGCTATTTTCTGGTGAGTATATGAATGCTCCTTTAAGCCCTCAATTTGATTTTTTTAAAGACAGACACTAACACTTAGATGACTGTGTACTGGAAAGGGTGCTGGTTCTGGAGATGGAAGACTAGGGTTCAAATCCTGCCTCTGCCGCTTACCATGTATGACCTTGAATAAGTTGTTCAACCTCCTTGGGTCTCAACTGGTTCCTCTACAAAATGAGGAAGTTGGATTAGATGAACTTTAGGTCCTTCCTTTCCATCTCTAAATCTATGATCCTAATTACATAAGAAGACAAATGTAACTTTGCTGTTGTTCAGCCAAGCGTGACTCTGTGATCCCATTTGGGGTTTTCTCAGCAAAGATACCAGAGTGATTTGCCATTTCCTTCTCCAGTTCATTTTACAGATAAAGAAACTGAGGCAAGCAGGGTGAAGAGATGTGCCCAGGGTCACCCAGCTAGTTAAGTGTCTGAGGCCAGATTTCAGCTCGGGAAGATGGGTCTTCCTGACTCCAGGCTCAGTGTTCTGTCCACTGTGCCACCCAGCTGCCACAAATCTAACTATAAAAACTTGGTATTTTTAGGGAATCACTATCCCATATTGTACCTAAAAACATATTTTCTGGCTTATCCACAATTGAACTTTCTCTTCAGCCCGAATTATTCTCAAAAGAGACCTCTTATTCAAGACAAAGAAATCAATTTAAAAACTTGCAAGTAGATGCACATATATATATATATTTTTTAAAGTCTTTTAGGGTTATGCAACCCAATACACTGCAGAGGAAGAGAAAGTATCACCAGTTGCCAGAGATT